AGCGAGGTGTCAGCTGGAGCACGGCTCTTTCTTTTAAACCACTTGAACCATGTGGGTTTTTTGGGTTTCTTGTTTTCAGTCTGTTGTGTTGGAGTTGGTTTTCTCTCCAACACGTTTTCTTCAAACTGTTTATGCCGTTCATCTTTCGTTTGGACTTCATCCATCGAGTTAGTTTTAGTTTCAGACAGCATCACTCTTTCCTGTTCTGCTTTCTCAGGATTAAATTCTTGTTGGAACCTGATGGTTTCTTGTTCCAAACAGTCAGACATTTCTCGTCGTTCATGGAGGTGAATCATCTTTTCTCTCTCCCATTTCTCCTCCTGTTCGCCCATAATTTTCTGTAAACTCTCCAGTGCAGCTCGGATGTTTTGTGTTTCTTCCTGCTGCTTGCCCAATAAAATCTCCAGCTCATTAGTGTGAAGTTTTTCTGAGCTGAGAGATTCTTCTAGGAGAGAAATTGTGTTTACAGCCTTTGTGGTCGCTGCGTTCCATTCTTTCTCCTGTTCTTCAATATATTTCTTTAAATGCTCCAGAGAACTCTCTGCCTGTTGACTTTTGAATTTTTCATCAGTCAGAGATAACTCCAGTCTCATAATGTCTTCAGTCATGTTATGAGAAATAGTTGTCTGTTGTTGCAGTTCTGTGATTATTTTCTCATTTTCACTTTTGAGACGTTTAATTTGGATTTTAAGCTCTTCAGATTTAACTCTTTCAGAGTTTATTGCTCTTTCAGACTTGATGGCCTGTTGTTGTAAAGAGTCAGACATCTCTTTTTGTGTTTCTCTCTTCCATTGATTTAGCTTTTCTCCCATGTCGTTGTGTAACTGCTCCAATGAAGCTCTGAGCTTCTCTGTTTCCGTGTCTCTTTGGGCTAACAGAGTTTCTGCTCGCTGAGATTTTAACGTCTCGGCTTGGAGCGACTTTTTCAAGCTCGAATTGTTTCTGATGGCCTTTTGATAAACAGACGTTTGTAGAAACAAATCTGCAGTCAGTTTTTGATTTTTCCCTCTAAGAAAATCATTCTGGAGCTGAAGGTCTGCCATCAGTTTTTGAAAAGTCTGTTTTTGTGCCTCAAAGGTTGAGTTTCCATTTTGAAACTCCTGGCATCGTTTTTCAGCCTCTGAGTGCAGAATCGTCAGATCGTAGAGTTTTCTAGATTTGTCCTCCAACTCTCTCACTAATTCAGTGTTTTGTTTCTCCAGATCCGCGATTTTTTTATCGCTGGATGTTAGATTGAATTGATATTCGTACTCTGACACCATAATAAATCCCTCGTTTGGAATCGTTAAAGGAATCGCGGATCTAGATTTGTCCTCCAACTCTCTCAATAATTCAGTGTTTTGTTTCTCCAGATCCGCGATTTTTTTATCGCTGGATGTTAGATTTAATTG